ATTTGCGGATCCCCAGGTAAAGCAAATTTTCAGTGAGCTATACAAACTGACAAAAACACTAACACAAACATGACTTATAACGACAAATACACAACAATTTTGAACTTTCTTACTTCATCACCATAAACCAATCGCAAGACTTACAAATAATGCAATTCAATTCAAATGGACTTAAAAACAACGTTGACGAACTGAGACAGACGATAACAAAATACGATCTGGACATAGTACTGATTAACGAGACACACCTAAAACTACGGACAGACTCTATATCAACAATTACAAAGTTTACAGAAACGACAGACAGACCGACGCACGCGGATGGGGCGGCACTGCGATTTTGATTAAGTCTAACATCAGACACGAGCAAGTGCCAAACCTGACAGCGGGCGGTTCTGAAATAACAGCTATTAATGTATACAAGAGAGGTCAAAAAGTAACCATAATATCGATTTACATCCCGGCAAGCAGACTAGAACATACGGACTTACAAAGACTACTGGACTCGAATAGATTTGTTCTTATGGCAGGAGACTTTAACGCACAACACACAACTTGGAACTGTAACTTCAACAACGCAAACGGAAACAGACTTTACGAATACCTGACCGAATACAACACCACAGACGCACAACTACACTTTCCTGACACGCCGACCAGATACGCCACCGTACAGACGCACCATCACAGTACGATCGATTTGGCATTGACAAAAAATCTACACGTAACATCCGAACCCATAACAAGAACACTTTTCAACTCTGACCATAATCCAGTTTTCATGACCATTTCAGACAGGACTAGACGTCGACCAGACCCCCACACGCAAATTTTTAGATTACACCAGAGCCAACTGGCCAATTTTCAGAGACATCATCACAGACAACACCACGACACACTATGCCAATCGATACCAACACTGACATTGAGGAGGCTGTAACACACCTTACACTGACAATCACAGACGCCGTACAACAGACTATACCGACACTAGACTCAAGAACAACACCAGCCAACGACTTGCCAGAACACATTTTATTGAAAATACAACTTAAAATCATATAAAGAAACTGTGGCAACGTACCGGTGACAGACTACTCAAGGAACATGTGAACAGACTGACAAAAATTATTTCCAATGAAATACGTGATCACCGAAACAACACTTGGACCAAAAGACTCGAGAACATAAATACTGACCCACACAAAATTTGGCAGACAGCAAAAAGACTGACGCAAAAACCAACATCCATACCTCCACTCAAATTAACTGACAACAATTACGCAACGACACCAGCAGACAAGGCGGAAATATTGGCAAAAAACTTTGAAAACATACATAAACAAAATGCCAATATGTCAAACGCAGACCTGAAACAGACGTACACGAGACAATTCAAACTTCACTGACCTCCACAGGGACAAAGACTTACGAATAGACCCTGCCACAGTTTCTGAAATAAAGACAATAGTTAAAAAATTACCGAACAGAAAAGCACCGGGACCGGACGGACTACAAAACATAATACTTAAACATCTGCCGACAAACGCCTACATTTTACTTACCCGGATAATAAATAGAATAATGACAAAAGGCTGCTTTCCCGCTTCTTGGAAAACCTCCACCATATTTCCAATAGTGAAGCCAAGGAAACAGCCAGACATACCACAGAACTACAGACCGATCAGCCTCCTCAACACAATGAGTAAGGTAGCCGAAAAGGTACTACTCAAAAGACTTAACAAACACATAAGACACAACAAAATCATACCTGACACACAATACGGCTTCAAAGAACGACACTCCACACTACACCCACTGACAAAACTCATAGAAAATACTGTTCTCAATTTTAACAGACGAAACCATACCGGATTGGTGTTGCTTGATTTCGAGAAGGCGTTTGACACCATCTGGATGGACGGACTTATACATAAACTCATACAACTGAATTTTCCACCATACATTACAAGAACATTACACTCATACCTCTCAGACCGTAACTTTACCGTACAAGTAGACAACGGACTTTCGACGGTTAAACAAGTGACGGCGGGAGTACCGCAGGGCTCGATCCTGGGACCGTCACTGTTTAACGTCTACATTCACGACATACCCACTGACGCCGACACCACCTTACTGACGTTTGCTGACGACACTGCCATATACAAATCATCACGATCACCGACGCTACTGACTACAAAGATACAGACACACATAGACAAGCTGACGAAATATACTGACAAATGGCAGATCAAGATAAATCCGCAAAAGACGGAGGCAATTTTATTTACTAAGAGCCGAAATGCCATGACTAGACTGACTGACTTAGACAAAATTAAAGTATTAAACTGTGAAGTTGAGTGGTCCAAAGATGTCAAATATCTTGGTGTGACCCTGGACCATAGACTCAGCTTCACAAAACATATTAATACGAAAATTGGACAGGCTTACGGGATGTTAAATCTACTGAGACCTCTCTTGAACCACAACGGCCCGCTAAGCGTGAAGAACAAGCGAACACTTTACTTGACACTGATAAGACCGATACTGACATACGGCGCTCCGGCATGGAACGCGACGACTAAGACTAACTTACGGAAACTACAGACATTACAAAATAAGACACTACGACTTGTACTCAACAAAATAAGGGACCCACTGACTAGACATTACTACTCTTCAAAATACATACACAAACAGACTGACGTACCGACAATACTCGACTACATAAAAAAGCTCACTGAGAATTTTTATCTAAAATGTGGGGATCATCCTAATATGAACATCGCGGGCCTCGGCCAATACACAAGAGATGATATTTGGTATGGCAATCACGCCATGCCAAAATATATACTGATCGACCCATAGCGGCAATTGAAACTTGGCTCGACGCAAATATTCTCCCTCAAAGTGAATAAATCTTTTTTTGTTTTTCTCCTTTTTGAGTTATTATGTGTTATTATAAATAGTGCTAAGTGATTTTTTTTTGGGGAATAAATTTTCTTTCCTCTTTTTTGTCACAGAATTATGTCACAACTTGTATATCTGAAATACTTATTATTGTATTGATAGAACAAATATGAAGGATGAAATACCTACGGGTAAAAATCCAAAATGAGAAATGCTATGTACACATATATATCTACTGAAATATATTTATTTATTATTATTATTATCGCCTTTGCCTTCGCCTTGTCCTTTGCCTTGTCCTGCACTTTCTCAACAAGGAGAGGTTAAAGGTGGCTCGTCCTTTTGTCACTTGGTCAGAGATAAATAAATGACCAATGGGAAACGGACGGGCAGCTAAGATGAAAAAATAGTTCTTCTCTTTGTTGGGAGAGAAATTTTTGGAAAGCCCCACTTCTTCGGAAGAAGGGGCGCACAACATATCATAAATATAGTTGCTAATGTATGTAAAACATACATTGCATCACATATATATATATATATCACATGTATATATTATATATATAATTTATATATTATATGCAGCCCAACCGTCGAATTAACTAGCTGTACGTAGAATTCTGTCTTAAGGCAATTAAGGCATCGTGCCTTAAGGCAAATTGCTGGAACTTTCCGTACCAAAAATTATTATTTTTCTTAAAAACAATTAACATTTTTGAAAAAAATTTACTTCGAAAAAATTAGATTTTTGCGACACTATCAATTTGACAAAAAATAACTTTTAAAAATTTTTTTTTTTTTTTTGAAAAGAAAAATGTTTTTTTCTTCATTTTGACATATTTTGGAAATTCTGAAGGTTTTTTCAAAGCAATCGTACTGCTTTCACTGCATAAAGACGAAATATCAAAGCGCGTAAGTGCCCCATCACCGTCTAACGCGTAAACA